TCAGGCTATCCCTCAAATAAAACCCCAATAAGGCTTAAGAAGATAAGAAATATTGCAGAAGAGTCACTTTAATGGTGCTTTTGTGTTCCTTTGGAAGTTGAAAGCTTCAGTGCCTGTTCATTTTAATGACTATTAAAAAAAGTACCTGCATAAATTCAGAATTTCTAATTTCCACAGAAGAAAGAAAGTCATACAGGTCTAAAAACCTTTTCATTTTTAGGTCAAAGTATTTCTCAAACTTGAATGTTCTCTTGTTCCTCAGTGATAATAATATGCATAAAGAAACATGCACACAGAATGGAGCAGGTGGAGAGCTAATCTAATATATCAGGTTTTTTTTCATTAGGTTGAGCTCTTTTGAATCAGCTCATTTGTAGCCTGTTCATTGAGCTGCTATACCTCCAAGTGTGAAGTGTCCAACTGTGGGACCAAATGAAAGAGACACTATGAAGAGGGAGGGGGAGGGGGGTGACAGAGAGAAATGTTGAGAAAGTTGGAACGAGGTGGCGTTCAAGAGTGATCTGAAGGGAAAGCAAAAGACTGAATGACTGATAAAGGGAGACAGAGTTACACCAAGCATTCGCATGTGCCCGTATGTACGCGTATGGCAGAGAGAAAGAGCGAGCGCTGAGAGCGGTACGCTATGATGGTATTGTTTTTGTGACAGAGATCAGTGGCTGGCTCAATGTGTTTTATTTGCAGTGGGGCTGCTCTCCCAGGCTAATAAAATGTGAAGCTCCCGCTGCCTGCAGTGGCATGCTGTGCACAGCGGGAGGCAGGGCTTTTTTGTGTTCCCCTGCCCAAATTATGGAACCGTCAATACCCTCCCTGGATCCCGTCAATAGAACCACGCTTTGTGACTGATGGGAGACCAACTTCAAGGCTATCCTGAAAAAAAAAAAAAACGAAAAAGAGAAAACAGAGAGAGAGAGAGAGAGAGAGAGAGAGAGAGAGAGAGAGAGAGAGAGAGAGAGAGAGAGAGAGAGAGAGAAGAAAAACTTGACCTGCTTTTTCCCAAATATGGTCTTTAGTACAATCTGACATAGAGGGTTGTTTTTTGGGATCGTCTGGGCCTTTGTGAAGACTGAGGCGCTCAATAGAGCAACAAACCATTGCTATCGTTTCACTTTCTAAACCATGTGGGAGGGTACGCACTGCCATCATCACTGTTGTTGACTTGCCTTGATCTGAATGGTGACATACCCTCAGGGTGAAGTCTGAGACATTAAACGCACTGTTGCTGTGTTAGCGTTAGCATGCATTACTCATGAAACCTGAAAGGGATTTTCCAGAGTATTCGTAGACTCTCTGTTTTATCGTTTTGATGGAAGGGGGCTATGGGGGATATTTGTTGTGGGTTTGTAAAGCTAATTAGCAATAAGCAGACATTTGATTGGGATAATTATCCACAGTTACAAGCACCATGTAAACTTAAGAACAGGCCAGCCTGCGTTATGATTCACAGGGTCCATTGAGCAAGGATGTGTTCATTCGGTCAAAAGTGACAGTAAAGGTGTACAAAAGATTTCGGTAACACTTTCCTTGTTAAACATGTTACGGTACAGTTAAATCTAGTTAATAACTATAAATTATGCATAATTACATGCAACTAACCTTAAAGCAAACCCTAATCCTAACCCTATAACCATTTAGTAACATGTAGTTAATTATTATTACTCAGTGCAGTGTAACCAAGATTTCAAATTAAAATAAATGCTGTTCTCTTTAACCTTTTGGGCCCTATTATAATGATCTGAAAGTATCAAAGGCGTAACGCAAGTAACTTTGCGGCAGATCTCGACGCAAATCTAAAATGGGTGGCTTGAAGTAGCTACATTACTCATAGGTGTGGTTTGGGCTTAACGTGAAATAAAGCAATCAGAGCGTCATCTCACATTCCCTTTAAAAGCAGGCACGCTTGTTTCGTGGCGGATTGCTATTATAATGGCGGATTTGCCAGGATCACGCCATGAGTGGTTCACGTCCAACATTCTCTTCAGGGCCAAAAAAGACAGAGAAGTGACATTAAATGGGGATGGGAGAAACCTACCCAAGTTAGCTTTAGTTAAACAGGCGTGTACACTCTCAGAAAAAAAGGTACGAAAGCTGTCACTGGGGCGGTACCTTTTCATAAGGTACACTTTTGTACCTAAAGGGTGCATATTGGTACCTTCATGGTACATTTTGTACAATTATGGTACCAATATGCACCCTTTAGGTACAAAAGTGTACCTTTTTGAAAAGGTACCGCCCCAGTGACAGGTTTTGTATCTTTTTTTCTGACAGTGTAATAATTTGGGTAAATGTGACTATTTTTTTTACATCCTCATGGACACCACAATGATTTCCCTCGTGTGGTAATATTTTTTCCTTGGAATTGTGTATAGTTTGCAAAAATGGAAACTGCTGAGTCTGTGTAGATGAGAGAAGAAAACATGCGCATTGTGCACACGCTACATTATGGCCAAGCATGCGCGCTTAAAAGAGCATTTCACACATTTCAACATTAATTTTATTTAAAGTGGATCATATATAGTCGAAATGTAAAATAATTTTTGAATTTGGTGCCCTCTTGACTGAGAAAAGACAACTCCCACAATTCATTGCACAGCTCCGCAAGCCACACCCACTAATCCGGAACTGCACGCACATCAGAGAAATCACTCTTCCGTCTACAAGGCTAACGTTAGCTGCCAGCAGAGCATAAAATGAGGAGCGACGACGGCAAAAAAACAGAGAGAGAGAGAGAGAAACAGGCCTGATTTTATGATGTGTTTTGTTTCTGTTGTGAGTAACGCTACAGCAGTCGTAAATGAGTTTTGTGTTTGTTAATTTTACTATTAAAATCTTTAAATGTTCGCTGTTCCCACCTCTTTCTTCCCACAACAACAAACCCTGTTAACGTTACATTGGCAAACTCATTAGTGAATTACTCCTCGTTTGTATTTATTTCTATATGGTGAATTACTGCATGATACCTGGATGTTCAGTCAGGCGAAACTAGGATGGTTCACATCACAACACAAACATCCGTGTGCTCGTCTGATTCAGAGCTTTCGTTCAGGAGAAATTGGCATCGTTGAAATTCTCTGCAGCAGACGGACTCTATCTGTGTTTGTAGTTCACAGCGAGAGCACCGGTACCAGCAGTCCGCCTCAGATCGAGCCAGACCGGGCTCCTCGACCGCGACAGGCAGCCGCCTCCTGTTCCTCCATCAGCCTCAGCTGCTCTTCACTATATTGCGGCTATATAAAGACAGCCAGAAACATCGGATTCGAGCAGCAGACTTTTCTAAATCCTCTTCTTCCATATCATGTTTAGTTTCTTCCATCATTATCATACTTTCTATCTCCACAGGGCTTGTTAGCTTAAGCCTAGTTCACACTACGTGATTTTAAGCCCGATTTAAGCCCGATTTGCAAATCGTTGAGTCGCCGACAAGTCAGGGTGTTATCGCGTGCAAATCGCGGGCGATTAGCGGACGATTAACGCTCGCCAATCCGTTAGTGTGAAAGAGCCAACAAAGCATCAAAGACAGCTCGCAGACACCTCGCAGACAGGTCACCGAGCTCAGAAAAATATCTAGCATGCTAGATATCTCGAGCAGTCGCGCGACTCAATCTTAGTGATGTCATGAGTACAGCCAATCATAGCAACGCATGGGTTGTTGAGGACACCAGGTAAATCTTACTTTTTCTTTTCTTTTTTGCATTTTTTTTTCTCAGAGCAGATCGTCGAGCAAACAGTGTGCAGCACTAGTTTCTGTCTGACGTCCATATTCGCGTGTTGTGTTCTTCTCTGCATTTTCGCGTAATTTCTGGTTTGTTTTATTGCGTGGTTTTTCGTGACAAAACATGGTTTCTAGACCAGATAGAATCGTGTTGTTGTCAACTCGTTATTTATTTGATTATTTTCAAGATTTAGACCGTACTATAGTACTGAAACAGCTCTCATTGAGTCACAAATGATATGCTCTTATCATCCGATCGTGGTTGTATCTCTATGTAGTGCATTGTTAACTCGTGTAGTGAGTTACCTCCTGTTGTGGATCAATCACGTTGTGTTGTGTGGTGTGAACAGCTAAACAACTTGAACACTCCTATTTCACTGAGAGCAAGTCATGTAGTGTGAACTGCACAGTTCAGCCCGATGTTTTAAAATCATGTTGTGTGAACTAGGCTTTAGCTTCCAAACAAGATGGCTGATATTGATTCAGTATCTGCAAGTGAAGTCCCACCCACTGATCTGTAATAGGCCTGTAGAGTGAGTGGGTCCCACACCCTTGAATAATAATGAGCTAATGTTTGTAGTCTCTACACTAATGAAATATGACTTCCTGCTTATTGTGACGCAAAATGGCGATTTTTATGTCATAATAAGCAGGAAGTGAAACACTTAAATAATTATTTATCCCATCTCAGGGGAAAATAAGGGAAGACCATTCAGAAATCTGACTGGGTTTCTAAAGATACAAAGCTTAATGCAAATGGGTGAAGTGTCCCTTTAAAATAGCATCTGAATAAAGCGCCACTGACTTGCAAACTGCAAAAGGAACACTATAAGAACGTTGAACGTTTGCCCCGCAACACACCTCCTCTTTTTGCTGAACCGCCCCCGGGAGCGGAAGTTCATTTCCTAATTTACCCACTTGTGTCTGTGGAGGGAAAAGTCTGTTGTGTGTTGGGTGCAAAATAGCAATGATATATGCATCGGTGTACAAAGTCAATTGCGCTGGGTGCAAGATAGGCCCCTTCATCTCTTTTCATCTATTCATCAAAGAATCCTAAAAAAAATCTATAGTTTCCAAAAAAAAAAATATTAAGAAACCCAACAGTTGATTATAATAAGAGCACCAAATCAGAATATTATGATTTCTGAAGGATCATGTGACCCTGTCTGGAGTAATGATGCTGAATATGTACAGTATTAAAATAAAAACACTTATTTTAATTGAGGAATGCAATAATAAATGCATCCTTGGTGAGCATAATAACAAACAAATAAATCTAATGAGTCCAGACTTTTGAACAGTAGTGTATGGTTTCTTCTTTACTGTGTGAAATGTGGTTCTGATGTACTCTATAATATATACTGGTGATACAAAATGCTAAAATATGGAACTTTGTGTACTATCTTTATTATTTAGCTATATAACCATATATAATGCAAATTTGAAGTTTGTATTCTGTCATGTTTTGATCCAATCTAAAATGGTACAGAGGTCAGAGTTCACCAGACATGAACTTTGGTAGATTCCCACTCTCTCATATGAGCTATAATTAGGACTCGTGAGCTTATAGCCACCAACTGGCACAATAGAAGTCAATCAAATAGCAAATTTAACCCTTTGGTGACAGTTCAGAGGAAAAATCCATCTTTTCTTCTGGATCCTTCACCCCAAAGAATTCTGTAGAGCGGGAGAAACATCACAGTGAATTATTAAACATCAAGTACAGAAAAAAACAAGTAAACTCGTCTGTCCTCCCTCTCTAAACCCCCCCAAAAAAGAAGAAAAAGTGAAACTTTTTCTCTTCAGTTTGAAGTTGGAACTTCAAGTCATTTTTGTGGCTGTTCAAACGATCGGGAACACGGAGCGTTTGCTGGATTCCTGTGTGCGCATTCAAAAGCCACCTCCCTCAGAAGTGCCACCTAGCAGCGTGCTAGAGCGGGAACCTCGTGCAGCGCGAGGATTCAGATATGCTAATTGATCAGCGGGGTAGCTCTGAGCATCGCTGCAACCTGCTTTAAATAGACAGCTGCTTCCCTCTGTATTCCCCCAAACTCCTTTCCTTCTTCTCTCCGTTTCTCCCTCATCCTCCCCACTTCAGAAATCTCCTCCTCCTCTCACACACTTGCCCGTCTCCTCACTTTCACTCGCTTTTAGTTTTGCATTGGAGCAAACAGCAGTAAATTAACAAGAAGAAGTGATGAATTGACTTTTGGGCAAAGAGAAATGGAAGGGAATTAAGGGAGAAGGACAACAAAAATGCAGAGGCTGTTTGTCTGAGAGTGAGAAAGGGCCTCCGCCGGCTCTTTATGCCAGCTACGGCAGCATTAGCGCTAAGTCCCGCGCTTCTTTTTTTCTCCTTGTCCGGGGCTCATGCTGAGCAGGAACCTGAGCTGATTGGGTTTCATTCACAGGTCTCTGAGTCGGCAGTAAATTTGGCCGGGGGTTCCCTGAGGGCCCCCCTCGACACCTCGTCTCCAGCTGGCTGAGCGCGATTGTTGAGGAGCTGAGGAGTCACGTTGAGGTCATTCACTATGGTATACTACTAAGCTAACTCGCCTCGCTCCTTTCTCTGTCTCTTTCTTCCTCTTCTCTTTCCTCACTTCCCTCCTGCAGGTTGCTAAGGCCTGGTATTTGCTCTCCGTGGCCAGGCTGTAATGACAGCCACGGTGCCCCTGCTGCTTCTCGGCTAGCGTTTCTCTTTGTGCTGCTAGTGGTTATTGGGAGTGAGAGGGCAAGAAAAGGTGATGGCTTACAAACACACACACAATTGCACATTCGCACACACATTGGCATTCACAGCTTTTGGACCAATTGTGCAGGCCCAACTCATTGGTATCATTTTAAAAATATATGTTAGTTTGCTATAACCAATTATTTATCTTTTTATTATTTTTTATTAATTAGTGCTGTCAAATCGATTAATCATGGTAAGAAAGTTTGTGTTTATATACTATATGTGTGTATTGTGTTATATAAACAAACATATATAATAAAAACAAACTTTTATGTTAGAAACGATTAATCGCGGTTAATAGATTTCACAGCACTAATATTAAAATAACAATGAAAAACATAAAATATCTATTTAATTTGAATATAGCTGTATTTAATATTTTAATGAAATAAAGTTCAACAAGGAGAGGAGCTGCACACATAATCATTTTTCATGCAAAAAACTATATTTCGTCATCACTATCAATGATGTTTTAATGAAATAATCAAACAAATTAATGTAGTTTTGAATGTGGAAAACTTCTTGTTGGTAAGCAATTCTGTTGTCAGATATTTTTGTACAATGAATAATAAATGACCGGCAACTGATCAGGGTTATTACAGTAAACTCAAACAAAAACCATTAAAAAAACAAACATTTTGAACCAAAAAATGTCAAAACTTTATAAAACACACAACAGCACAATAAAAATGTAAAAAAAAAATATATATATATATTATATATATAAAAATGAAAATAGGTCTGTCAAATGATTAATCGTGATTAATCGCATCCAAAATAAAAGTTTGTGTTTACATGATATGGGTGCACTGTGTATAATTACACGCATGCTTGTATATATTTGAGAAATATTTCCATGTTGTATATAGATTTATATATAATTTATATTGTATATAAATATAAATATTTTATATATAAATTTTTTTTCTTAAATATACATGCATTTGTGTGTATTTATATATATAAAATAATAAAAAAATAAAATATTTTTATTTATGCCCTAAATAAAAATTGAAATTAAAATATTCATAAAAACTATAATAGAATCTCATTGATACTAAAATTACACAGCACAACTGTTTTCCTTCATATTTCACATCTATACACTTTCATCTCTTTCATAAGTTCAAAACAATATTTCATGTCCATTTAAGCATGAGCCACTCTCAAAGGGGTCTTGTATCATCCTTAAAGGTTTTATTTTGCAAGCTGTCTGCATCCCTTTAATAACTTCTTTTTTTTTAACCTCTTTGACAAGTTTCAAATGTAATTTGTATGGACAGACTGTTTTTAGACTGCTGTGTCCTCTTCAGGGGATCTCCACCCTAAGGCACATACAGTGTATATAAATGTTCCCATTGAGAGAGGGGCTTGACTGTTTATGATCCTCAGAGGGACAGATGCTCATTCAAAAAAGCCCAATCAACACAGCCATCATATCACACCTCCTCTAAATACAGCAGCACTTAAAAAAGGGGGCAAACACCAGCCATAAAACCCCTAATGACAACACTAATAAAACTACAAAGACATGAAAGAGCCGGCCAAAGCCTGCAGTGCAGTTCCTTCCTGCTTCTGTGTCTACTGAGGACAGAGAGAGCAAAAGAGACCGGACAAGTGTGTGCATGAATGTTTTCGTGCTTTCTGACCATCTGAATAGTTGTTGCAGGATAATTGTTAGAACATTAATGTGTACACAGCTTAAATCAAATGGGGGTTACACAATGAGTGAACGACATCAAAGCAATCCTATATAATTCCGCTTTATCTGTTTTACTGTTTAGTTCAAACAGAAGAGAGTCTTTTGCTCCATCTCTAATTGTCCACATAGCATAATTTCCTCCTTTTAAAAAAAAAAAAAAAGAATACAAAGAACATAACAGATGCCTTGTTGGTCTCTGCAGTGACTTTCCCCTGGTGAGTCTTTAACAAGGCTCCAGATATTAAAAAGGAGTGCAGTTTTCTTGACTTGGGCCAAGTCTTTTTCTGTGCATGGCAAAGAGCCACAGAAGCTGTGCTTTGTTCCATGAGAGCGGGGCACAATTATGTGTGTCATTGTGTGTGTGTGCCTGGACCATGCTTTTTCAGAAAACATTTGCATGCCTGATAAACAGCAGCATTTAACAACTTTCTAGCCTTTGTAGTAGAAAAAAGGGAGAAATAAATATCATATCTTTAAACTAAACAGAATTTCATTCACTTTGAGTTTCAATCCTCTGATGTGAGTCATTGGGGACAGACAGACAAAAACCTCAAAACACCCCATAATTACAATATGCAAAATACAGATTTTCCCATTAGAAGCTAAACTTGACACCAATTAGAAATGAGATTCAAGAAAATCTCTTATCATTATAATACGCTTTGATAAGGACCCACTAAACAATGAAACTAATCCCATGGTGGTTCAAAAAGGATTGATTACTGGCAAATATTTCAATTTTACATTCATGCCAGGAAAACATTTTCGTAGTGACTCAAGAGGTATGAAAATGATCTGCTTATTTAAGAGACACGTGAACAGACACATTTGGGCTTCTTATCGCGTTTCTAAAGGATTTTTCTTTCGTGCAAAGTGTCAAATGTGTAAAAAAAAAAAAAAAAAACCTCACACACAGCAAAGGACTCTAAACAGTGCAATTAGCTTGAAGAGCCTCAATGGCCTGCAGCATTGAAGCTCCTGAGTGTATTGTGCATGTGTATGTGTGTGACATTGTTAATGACGGCACTTAGGAGATCAGAGAAAGAATAGATGTATGAGATACACAAAACTAAAGGTGATAATGGAAACCGCTCGACCGTTTAAAGATGCATCACTGCTTCAAAGACGGGTGTGTGTGGACAGGACAGACATTTGACCTTCCAACTTAGTTATGTAAGAGACTAATCTGGAGTTTAATGTGAGCCATTTTACATGTAGCCTATAGCTGATATACTTTGGCAGCAAAATATATCTAAGCCACACTTCAAAATGAACAGCACAAGCATTTAGCCAAAAATGATGTTTTGAAAGTATAAAGGTTTGAAGAAGTTTGAAGAAATTATATTAAAACATTAAATTCACCATTTAAAACAAGAAAAATATCTGTTTTTTGTGATTTTTTATAGCTGACAGTCACAAATATACATTTTTTAATGATAAATGTTTAAACAAGTTTAAAGAAATTATAAATTACTGTTTGTGAAACCTTGCTCATAGTCAATTTGATGAATATTACTTTGCAGGAGCATCTGTGTGTGTTTTTGCTGGTTAGTTATACATCCCTGCACAAACCACTGTTAATTTTAACAGAAAGCAAGCTGTATTTGTGAATTGGCATGGCAGCCATTATAAATAACTGCCTGACCTAATATAGCAAAATTCTGTGTTTGGACAAACCATATCTTGGACAGATTAAAATGGATCTAACTTAAACACCTCTGATTGGACTTTGGGTTTACAAAATCAACAGATATGTTTGTGATTGGCTACACTGCTCAACGCTGCAAAACACGTTGTAAATAGAAACCTTTTGATCAGAGCGCAAAGACAGAGCATTTGTCAACTGTAGACTCAATAGATCATTACTTCAAAAGTCTTTAAGCTGATACTACTAGCTAAAATATTTTGTTTTATAGCTTTCCATTTGGTTATGAAAATTCACTGAAATTGATAAGCAGGCCTGGTCAATAATTATATGATAACTTAAGGAACAACAAAAAAAAAATGTTTGCATCATTCTTCTCATATTTTATTCAAATAAAGATTGATTATACTTTTTTAGGATCAAAAGTTTGGGATCCCCTACAATGAAAGACTAGACAATAGCTAAGTGAAGATAATTAAAAAAAAATCTAAAAATCATTTTTTCTACACAGATAAAAATGCAGTAAAATTAGTTAGTTCTGAGGAATTAAAAAAAAAATGATGCCAATTTCTTTCTTTTTTTCAAAACTAACTTGCATATTTTACAGTCTTAGTGTAAGGGATCTTCAACTTTGTTATGCTAGGACCCACATAAAAAGTCTCATCAATCTCACAATTGTTACATAAACTAGCAATTGCAAGTGATAAATTCCAAATTGTGAGATATAAACGGGGAGATATAAAAATAAAAAATAGGGAGATATAAAATCTCAATTGCGAGAAAAAAATTCTAAATTGTGAGATTAAAAAGTCACAATTACCTTATTATTTTTTTTTTCATTATTATTATTATTATTATTATTATGTGGTAGAAACAAGCTTCCATATGTTGCAGTTGTTTGACTTGATAAGAAAGGCTTCAGTTTTATGGCCTCACTTTGTCTGGGCTACTGTCTGCTGTCTTGCTGTTTGATCAGTGTTGGAGAAGCTGTAAAAAGTATCATTCCACTCACTCGTGTGAGCAAATGCGGCTTCATTAAAGAGCCTGGACCCTCAGCAAACTGAGACGGTGTGAGAGAAAGCGACACCAAGGTCGTTGTCCCTCACCTTGGCACAAACATGTGTCATCTAGCTCTCTGCTGTGAAGGATCACTAGACTTCTCTCCATTCAGCCGTATTTGATGTGGCACTCACCTGTCATGGTCTCCGGACAGATGAGAAGAGAATCTCTCCTCACGAAGGCCCGCCAATCAAAGTACCTGACACTGGCCTCAAAGAGGATTTGACGGAGGGCCTGTTGACACCCCTCAGCCGGCGCCCCTGTTCTTTTAAGACCCACTTCTGCCTAACATCTGCAGCAAGATGAAACAGAATCATAATTGGGTACAATCACGCAAGAGGCGAAGTAAGATCACTTCTTTTTACAGAGATGCTAACATTACTTGCCGAGCGCCCTTAATCCTCAAGAAAACGTGCTTTAAAGAGCTATTTTCCTTAAAGAAAACATTTAGAATTATTTGTTGACATGTAATCAGGATGTATTGCAAAGTTGCATCTGAACAAACCACAAGACTTCTGGAACAATGTCCTTTGGACCAATGAGACCAAATGGAGATGATTGGCCATAATGCTAAAAATTAGGCCACATCCACACGAAGCCAGAGCTTTCCTTATCCGATGTTTTTTTTCCGCGTTTTAAAAAAAAAAGTCAGTAAACACGGCGGCGTACACTCGATGTCTGCGTACACTCGAAACCACTGAAACTGACTGAAAACAATGTAGTATACATCCCAGACCAGTATGTGGTGCTGTAATTGTGCCATAGAGATACACTAAAAATGCGAGAAGAAGACTTAAAGCATGCCCATAAAACCTTGTGCGCTGTAGGCTACTATATACAGAGTAAATAAATACTAGGCTATACAATAATATTAGGCACAGTTGCTTTTTTCTTTTTTTCTTTTTTAACAAGAACTTTATTGAACAACCATAAATTGTCCGGTACAAAATAAGGAGTCACGATATTCGATTATTTAGCGGACTCAGAAAGCTTGCCACAAAGAACCGGCAAAAGTAACGAATGTGTCAAATAAAAGATTGTAACAACTTTAATGAAGAGTGAAAGTAAAAGCCATTTTTGAGATGATTCCTGTGTCTGTGGTTGACTAAGCATTTTTTCAAGTTTAAAGCAGAACTGATGTGTGAAATCCCCCCCAGAAACTTGACATAGACATTTTAATAGTTTATTAATAAATGTTTTCTGTCATTCTTGACTGAAAAGATGAAGTTGACGATGCTGACTCGGCACTTCGCAGTATTGTGAACGCGCCTAGAGTAGGCTAATGCTCTTCATATGGATTAGGCTATAAGGCCCGTCCACACTACTGCGTTTTTGTTTAAAAATGGAATATTAAAACGAATACGATCTCCGGCCACACCAGCGTTTTATCTGCGTATTAGAATTGATCTCCGTCCACATTAAAACAACTGAAAACGCGGATCACGTGACCATTCACTCTGGGCATGTGCGTGCCGGTGTAAACGGTGGCTGGCGAATCAGGGAAGGACACGTCATGACTGGTGACACCCAATCATAGAGCCGAGCGCGAGCCTCTGCGTCATCGTTTCTAAAGTCCTCCAGTCCCGTCTTCACTAAAATGCCCTCTGGAGATTCAAAACGCAAAACAGAGCTGAAGCGCTTCTAAACTTCTCCGTTTTAGGTCTTCGTTTTTTCCGTTTAGTCTGGACGGGAGGTGTAAACGGTCTCCGTTTTTAAACGAAAACGCAGTAGTGTGGACGGGGCCTAAGAGAGAGTTATCTGTTTCTTTTCGTCTTGAATTGTTGTTCGATATTGTTTTTCGACATTTCTTTAATGTCTACAACACGTAGGCCTACAATAACCTACAGAGAAATGTAAAGTCGGAGTGGAACATTACAGGGGTGCGTTTTTTAAATAGCCGTAATTATCAAATAATGGGCTATATGCACGCATAAGTTCCGCATTTGACGTAAGGATGCTCGTCCATTTCCGGTTGTGTAGATTAAAGCGGAGGAAAACCGGAGAAAACGGGATTATGGCAGAGTCTTCAATATTTACTGTCCTCCCGTCTTTGAAACGAAACGTACATACGTTTAGATGTAATTTTATATATAGTTATGTTTATTTAATATAATTTTAAAAAGAAGCATAAACACAACGAGGGGTGTCTGTTTTATCTGTTTTTGTGACTAACGTTTCATTAGTATAACCATGGAGTATAAAATTCAATATAAATTCTCGGTATTGCATTGGACTCTATGATCGGCGGAAGTTATCGAGCATCCTTAATCCTTCACCGGAAATAACGCCGTGCATAGAGCCCATTCCCATCAATCGTCGAATAATATTTTTGCTTTAAATCCCCATCCCTACAAAATACGACATGTCTTAATCGGACAACAGATCAGCACCATAGCATATGGAAGAAATTGTAGGCCTAAAAAAATAAATGAAATAAAAATACATTTAAGTAAATAATTAATAAAGGAATACAAGAGGCTCAGTAGTTTCGCCACATTATATTATATTATTATACAAGCAGTTCGGCAGTTGTTGTTGCTGTTATGTGACTGTCAGAGTAGTCAACCCGATCTCACGACCAAATCGTACGAATTCGACAAACGATTAAATAGTGGCTAATTCGTAACAAATCATACGACCTCACTCATATGAATTAGTACGATTTTGCTAAATCGTACATATTTTACAAATTGGCCAATTCGTATGAATTCGTACGATTGACCTACCCCTTACCCCGCCCTTAAACCTACCCATCACGTGGGTTTAGACAAATCGTACGAATTCGTATGAGTGAGGTCGTACGAATTAGTACGAATCAGACACTTTTTAATCATTCGTCGAATTCATACGAATTGGTCGTGAGATAGCGTAGGAGTAGTCGACACGTGGGGTGATGACATCATCATTTCGCAAAATATATGGATTGGCCGTACACTCGAAAATGCAAGGGTGTCGTTTTCAGATTTATCCACCCGGGGACACGGTTCCAAAAAATAGCGATTTCAGTGTCCCAAAACGCCGGATCCATCTGGATGAAACGCCAATACGACAAAAAATGTGTACGTATATAGCTAAACGTGTCTCTGTGTGGACGGGGCCTTAGGTGAAAACCAAACATAGCACAAACACCTCCAACTGTCAAGCACTCTAGTGGAGGGTTGATGATTTGGGCTTGTTTTGCAGCCACAGGACCTCGGGACCTTGCAGTCATTGAGTCGACCATGAATTCCTCTGCATACAAAAGTAGTCAAATGTGAGGCATCTGTCCCACACCTAAAGCTTGGCCGATAATGGAACAGGACAATGATCCAAAGCACACCAGCAAGTCCTCCAACCCAAAGGAACATACTGTATACTGTAGGTCATTTGTCACTGCCTTCAAATACGACCCATACGAGTGTTCCCTAAATTGAGTCCCCTACCGGCAGCTGGAGATATCCCACAGAAACTTTCGCCTCAATTCATTGTGTTTTTCATCTATTTCCGATAAAGAAATTCGACTTTTAAAGTGCATGTAGAAGCACTGAGAGTCTCTCTACAGCTGGAGGAGAGTATACATACTTATACAGATGTATAAAAGACACTCAAAGGACAGCATATATAAACACACACAAAGTCAAAGTTACAAAGTCTCTATTTTGTCTCTCTCTCTCTCTATTCCTCTTTCATTGCATTTGTATATCGATTGCACCAACCTCTCCTTTCATTCATCCAGTCAGTGGCTTCACTAGAAAGCGCACACACTTCAATGACACTTAAAGGGCCCCTACAAAAGGTGTGTGTGTGTCAGGCACAAGAATGTTCCCTCTAATCACTTTCTCAGCAAGAGGAGGGGATGCGAGAGAGAAAGAGGGTAAAAGAAAGAGGATTAAAACCGCGGAGTGTGTGTTTTCTCCGCTCTATGTTTAATCAAATACTTTTGAGAGCAGCATTTCCCAAAAGATCAGTGTGTCTCAAAGAGACTGTGTTTGAAAGATGTACCTGACCCTGTTTTCTGACGTGTGTCAGCGTGTGATGCGCTGACGTTTGAGCACAAACAGAGAGGAAGAGGGGTGTTGTCTGACTCTGTTCTCACTTCAAACTTGATCATATTTTTTGATTTCTTATCAAGTCTGTAGCATATTTTGGGACTGCCTGCTTTTGACTGCTTCAGAGCAGGATTCACTCATAGCCCTGTCTGCTGACTTTAGAATGTATTTTGAAGGATATATACATTGGGGTAAATGACGTCTAAGTCTGTAATCTGACATTAAAATGTACCCAGAGGAAATTTGTATTGCCCGGAGTGGCTTAGAAGACTTCTCAGTTATGTTTAATTTAGGATAATCTCTAAAAAGTAAATGATAAATGGGCCATCAGAGTGTGCAGAGAAGACATGTATACATATCTGCATCTGTTGCAATGACAAAATATGTTTCAATGACAATATTCGGATGTGGACATTACTTTTGTGGTTTATCCCATTGTTAGATTAAATAATAATTTCCAAATTTCAGATATTCATTGTCTAATTCATACAATATTTATTCATTTTATTACTACTTTTATGTAAGAGCTGTATCAGACAATGACAAAAAGCGCTATATAATGCAATGACAGGCAGTATTTGTGTATCAAGGTACCTCATGAAACTGATTTTGGACAGGCTTCTTCTCATGCAGCATAACGATTTCATACAACCACATAAGAGCTTTTGGTGATAACTAAACAAATATTTATTTACTACACTATCTATCTATCTATCTATCTATCTATCTATCTATCTATCTATCTATCTATCTATCTATCTATCTATCTATCTATCTATCTATCTATCTATCTATCTATCTATCTATCTATCTATCTATCTATCTATCTATCTATCTATCTATCTATCTATCTATCTATCTGATCTATCTATCTATCAGTGATCATCAGTTTTTCATACATTTTCATTATTTAGGTTGTATTCACACCTGCCTTGTTTGGTCCAATTGAATCGAACTCTAGTTCGTTTCCCCCCTTGGTGCGGACCTTTTGGGCAGGTGTGAATACAGCGATCGAACTCGGGTGCGGACCAAACAACCGAACCGAGACCAGCTGAACCGACCTATTTGCAAGAAAGCACTTCGCTTTTGAGTTAACAGGCTTCCATAGTTGGAGTTGCATTATGGGAAAGTGATCTGTTGTAAAATACTACATTCTCTATGAATGAAAACTTTATACCTTATCCGTCTTCTGCGCAGGGCCACTGTCAGCATATCATATAGGCGCACATGAGAGCATGTTCTCTTCACCAGAACCGTCTTGCTG